GATTATATTTGTAAACTCTCTTGGAGCCCTTGAAAACTAGGCAAGGAGAAAGATTATTTTCTGGAGATGAATTCATATTCAAGACAAATGTTAAATAAATTGACATTAATACCATATTTAATTAATTTGCTGAATTAAAAATTATCAACAGCCCTAATCTATGGAGGAATTAAGTTTTTGTTTTTAGAGGGAGAAAATTATTGAAGCCTATAGAATGTCTATTCCAATCTTAAAGAGTTCTGCCTTTCTGTGTTTAATTTGTACAACTAATGTATGTCACTTTGCTGGATAGAAGTGTTCCCTAAATTAGTTTTTGCTTTGTTTTACACATTATTTAAAAGATTACTTTGTAATATACATATTCAAAGTGGAATATACAAAGTTTAAGAAATATTAAAGGTTAATAAATAACCTCAAATTACTTTTAAAATTGAACCATACCTTACATATTTATGAGGAACTATACAGAGTTTTATATTTTTTTCCATACAAATTACATGTATTTTTTATTCCTAGGTACTTAGAGCTCTTAAATTTTATTCACAGATTTACTGCTATGCCAATAAAAATTACAATAGAGATTAATTCTAATATCCATCTGAAAAAAAATGACAGTGAAGAAATTGAAGGTGGTAAGGAAAGGGAGAGATAACTTGGGGAAGTAAGCTCTTAGAGATTTAAAAACAGCATAATATTTTGAAGAAGTATGTTACTGGCACATAATTCATTCTATAGGTTATTTGGAACAAAACGTGTTAGTCTAGAAATGTTTAAGAATTTAATATGATAGTTCTCATGTATAAGAATTTATTAGGATTGAAGGCATCTTTAAGTAACGTAGATTAATAAATGTTACGGATGGTTAGCACTTTAGAAGAACAGTTTATATTTCTGTCACATACCATAATTTTTTGATGCATTACTTTCCAGTTCCTGAACTGTTCCTTAAAAAGGAGTTAGATGTTCCTATATGATACAGTCATGCCTCTTGGCAGAAAAAAATAACTAGTACAGCAGAAACAAAGCATTTATCATCCACATGATTGAAAAGTAAGGAATACACTGTCTTTCCTAGCCTTAGGAGCAATAAATTTGAATTCTCATCAGTCTCCAGAACTCATATTTAAAGTGTGGTCAGTAAATCAACAACATTAACATAACCTGGGAACTTGTTAGAAATGCAGAATCTTGCCCCACTCCAGACCTATTGAATCAGAATCTGCATTTTAACATGGTCCCCCAAAACCTGTGATCTGTTTGCACATTCAAGTTTGAGAAGTGCTGCATTGTATATTAATGAAGTTAATTTTTTTTTCTTTCTCATTATAGTAGTAGCAACCTCATTTATTTCACCAATTTAGACCCAGGATCAACGTAATTTTTTGGTAGTGTCAGCTCATTTTCAGTAAAGGCTTGTCTCCAGAATTTTTTATTGTTACCTAGTTTTAAGTGTACGATTATAAATATTGCTTAATTTCGAGCTTTTTAAGTAGTAATCATGACACATTTGCCTAATATTCCAAAATTATTACGTTCTCTTTTAAGAGACATTTATTAGTTTTTAGGATGGATTTAATATATTGCTTTTTTGTTTGTTTTTGTCTTTTGAAATGCAGTTAGATATAGGGACTAAGAATACAGACTTCCAACCAGATCATTAGGGTTTGAATCTTGGCTTCTCAGTTTACTACCTATATGACAGTTAACTCCTGTATCCCTGTTTTCCTTCATGTATCAATTGAAGAAAATTACAGTAACCTATCTTATAGAGTTACTAGGATTGCATGAGTTAATATATATGCAATTTCTGATCTCTGTGTAAATTGAAGTCTTTATTATATGTTCTTAAAAAAGAGGATTGATATAATCTAGAACAGTTTATCCAAAATATAAGAAAGTTTCCTCTATTGCAGTGTTTCATGTCTTGCATTGTTGCCATCCATCCATCCAGGAATCTTGGAGTCATTCTTAATTTTTCCTGCCCCACATCACCCAATGTTTTCTTCCCTAAATCTGCTCTGTCCCCTCCATCTCTGCTGCTACTGACTTGGTCTAGGCTTTCATCTCCTCTCACTTGAATTCTTTCAGTAGCCACAAACTTGGTCCCCTAGTCCCATCCTCAGCATTACTGACACCGTATTGTTCTGACACAGTGTCCTGCTTAAAAGTTGTTACCAGCTCCCTGTTACAAACTTCCCAGCATGGTGGTTTCCTTCTCAGTAAAATGGGGAGGTTGTAATAATATATATCTAGGTAGTAGAGACTCAATAAATGCTTAAAGTGTGACAGTGTTTGGTTTATCTTCCTGAAAGTCTTCCAACAGTTTATGTTAAAATTGATATGTGGCCAATAAATACTGAGTAAGGGAATTCAGAAATGAAACAGTGGCAGAAAGTTGCTGGCTTGGAATTAAAATTAATATAATTAATGATTGAATAGTAAAATGAAGAATAGTAGCGCTTAATCATAGCTGTCTTCAGTTAATGTATTTTATTTATTAAAGAAATATTTGTCTATATTGGTCAGTTATTATGCTTTGGAGAGGGGGCTTTCAGTTACATATATTTATATTTACCATCAATTGACACAAATTCCAGGTCTTCTGGTTAACTCCTTTTAGAGGGATTGTAATTCACGGTTAACATTATGGTTGGACTTCCTTAAGAAGACTGTATGGGACAAATTTGGGCATATTCCTACTATTCTTATTTTTAACACTGGAAACTTAAAATTCTAAGAATATAAAGAAACATATCAGCTTTCTTAGTTTAACCAATAATTGTGTTCATTTCTTAGAAAAAGCAGAGAGATCTTGCTAAAATGAGAAAATGTCTCAGGCCAGAAGAACTGACAAACCAGATGAACCAAATAGAAATAAGCATGCAACATGAACAGCTGGAAGAAAGCTTTCAGGAACTTGTGGAAGATTACCGACGTGTTATTGAACGCCTCGCTCAAGAGTAAAGATTGTACTGCTCTGTACAGGAAATTTGCAAATTTCTGTACATTGTGTTGTGAAAAATCCGATGATTAATTTTAAAATCTTGTAACATTTTACTTACATTAAAAGTTATCTATCTTTAGTTGAATATTTTCTTTTGGAGAGATTGTATATTTTAAAATACTGTTAGAGTCTATGAGCATATATGACATTAAAAAAAAGATATAGCTTCTGAAATACCACTGCAATTTCTTCCCTTCTTAAACAGTATAATAAATGCTTAGTTATGATATGCTAATGTGTGATGACATGATTCTTAAATATTTATGGTAAACTTTTTCAGTCTTGTTTAAAAAGTTTGGGTTTTAAGTTTTTATTATTCCTCCCATACTTTGCTTCTAAGATATTACATCTGGCACCTTTAAAACATTTCTATTAAGATCTTCCTAGTAATCTTGTTTTTCCTATGTGATTTTTCTAACTAGGAAATGTTCCTAGTATAGATTTGTTTTATTTTAGACAAACTATTAACTGTTTGTTAGGGATAGGGTGGATGAGAGAAAGGAAACTAGATACAGCCTAAAACCTAAATGTTTGGCATCAGATATTAATTGAAGATAATTTAGAAGTTAGTTTTACCATAAACATGTTATAAACAATAATGATGTAAGATAATAAATCAATTTATAAAAATCCAACTTAATACACCACTATTAAAATACATCTTGTGTAAAATGAGGTATATATCTGTTGTAATTTGCTATAAGGTTACCAGAATGTTGAAGTCTAACAAGAAAAAATCAAAGTTATGATAAATTGCTCAATATAGTGTTACTTTATTTTTATTGTAGTAGAGTATAAATAAGTTGTGTGATATGGAATCATTAAAAGCAAAAGTTTGGTGTTTATAATATGTGCCAATAAGGAAGGTATTATATGACACCAGAAATTAGATGTAAGTCGAACTTTACTTTTAAAATCTAATTTGTTCAATGCTTAAGGCAAAATCCCAATTGGAGGGGCACTATCTTGTCCTTAGGTCAGCTTTCCATTAGTAAAACCTGTCAAACATGGGATAACAAACTGGTACCCTCTGGACACAAAATAGCTGTGGCCAGCAGCATACAGTGGCACTAAGCCATCTCAGAATGAAGATGTTGTAAAATTCTCAGAAGCTTATATATAAATAAAACTTACTGATTTCTAAGTGTGTATATATATAATTTGTTACAGATAGAACTAGTTCAGTTAAAATCCTTTCTGAAACTATATGAAAACCGTTTGTTTTCCATCTAAATTAGCTCCTTTTTAAACTTTTTATTGAAAATTTGCAGTTGATGTCTAAAGATGAGCTCTGGGGTAAAGAAAAAAATCAGTGCAATCTGAACAAATTATCTTTCAGCATACTTTTGTAGAAACCATTAAAGCCAATGATACTAATTTCTTTACCTTTTTTTTTTTTTTTTTTAAAGCAATGTTCTATGTTCAGTTCATGGATATAAAGATCTGGTTCAGCATTAATCTTTGGGACTTGAAAAGCTGTACTTTCATTTGGAGTTAGAAGGGTAAAAGTCCGATAGTTCTGCACCTTGCCTAGGGTAATGAAATAACCAGGATAGCTGTACAGGACTAGATGAAACCTAACACAGCCACCCTCTAGGGCAGCGGTCCCCAACCTTTTTGGCACCAGGGACTGGTGCTCCTATGAATCTGATGCCTGATCATCTGAGGTGGAGCTAAGAAAGTGATGCTAGTGCTGGGGAGTGGCTACAAATAAAGATGAAGCTTTGCTCACTTGCCTGCCTCTCATCTGTCATGTGGCCTGGTTCCTCACAAGCCACGGACTAGTACCGGTCCATGGCTGGGGGTTGGGAACTTCTGCAATAGAGAAAAGCTGATAGCAAAGCCTCCAACACCACGTCAGAGAATAATTAGAACCATAGACCTTAGAATCAAATGATTTCATTCCTTAAATTCATTCTAAAGTTCTTTTTATTCAAATTTAAAAGTTTAACAGTTAAATATTGATTAAATAAGGTACTCATAATTCTTCCTTCTAAATGAAATTATTTTGCAGTTCTATATTTGTATATGCATTGTACATAGTTTTGTAACAAACATTTCTAGTGTTCACAACAGTTCCCAGAGATGTCCAATATTTCATGTTGATTCATCCATATTAAACCATTTACCTAGGGGTTTTTTTTTTATTATAAACAACATTCAAATGAATTGTCTTTGCATATATATGTTTTTGTATCTTGTAAATCATTTCCTTAAGATAAATTCCTGGGAAATAGAGTTATTGAGTCAAAGGGTAGGACTATGGCGTAGTTACATAAACATGCCATATTTTCCAGAATTACTAACAAATATGAATGTGTATGCTGGCTTTAACAATTTCAAAGTCATGGGATATTGATTATGTTGTTTTAATATAAAATCTCAAATTTATATCCCTTTGGCTTAATGGGAAGGCTATTTTTCCATGTTTTTGTGAAAATTTTCTCTGATAAGAATTATCTATTTGATTTTTTTAAATTTGTCTTTTGGGAATCTACATTCTCATTTTAGAAGTGGACAACAGATCCAGAGGTTCACTTGCTTAAAGCTACACCCATGAATTAGTGGTAAAGCCAAGACTATACCCTAGGCTTCTGACTTCTTCATCTTCATCTTCATCTCATCTTCCATCAAGTAGGCCAGCCAAGTCTCAAGCATGTCAGCCACTCTTCATAAGAGGGGCTCTTCATAAGAGGGGCTTATTTTTAATTACCATCTGGAAAATACCTTGCTTGCACAACATTTGCCCTAATCACCAGAGAAATACCCTATCTGCCTTCTTGTTTTTATAATCTTAGAGGAGCAGGTATTAGAGAAAGTATGTTGGATTGTAATGACTGAAGTTATTGGTGCCTCACTTGAAGTATAGCTTGAAGTTCCTCATTTCCTGTCAACATTTTCTACTTTTAAATAAATACAACCTTTCTGCATTTCCATATTCCTTTAAATCTTTAATATATACATTTGATTCTCTTTGTATTATGTGCTGTACTAGAATTATACAGTGCATTTAATTTACTCATTTGGCCAGAATTGTCTTTACATTTATAATAAGTAGTATACACATAGTACAAAAATGTTAAAGGGCATACAGTGAAAAGCTCCTCACCCCAATCCTCCAGAAACAACTAGTTTCTATCTTACATATCTTTCAGAGATATGCATAAATGAGCATATATGTATATCTTTTATATATTTTATATACATATGGTAACCTCCCACATATGTTGTTTCCTAACTTGCTTTTTAAACTTAATATCTTGGAGATTACTGGAGCTATCTTGTTTAATGGTTGCACAGTATTCCATTATATGGATATACCATAAGTTATGCTCCCAGTCCTCTATTTAGGTTGTTTCCAGTATTTTTCATTACAAACTGCTGTGCATATTCTTGTGCATGTGCTGTGTATACATGTGCAAATACAACTGACCCTTAACACAGGTGTTAGCGGTACCGACCACCTGTACAGTCAAAAATCTGTATAACTTTAAGTCTGCCTTCTGCATATGCAGATTCCAAGCACAGATAAAATACAATTGTCCTTGGAACTGTGAGGGTCCACTTAAGTGCAGATCTTTTTAAATCCACATATCAGTGGACCTGTGTAGTTTAATCCCATGTTTTTCAGAAATCAACTGTATACCTATAGATTAAAGCCCGAGAAATCAGACTTTAGTCTGACTTCATTCTTACAGTGATTATACTAAAATTATTAACATGAACTAAGGTTACAGAAGCTTGATGCTTTACCAATCTGGAATAAAGTCTATGCAAACAGTAGTATGTTGGGCTTCAACCAACCTCCCTCACAGCTAGAATTATGAATTATCTTAAAGGCACAATGAGTTGAATGCTTAGGCCTATGCACATGACTTTCTTTTTGTTTATTCCTTGAGTCTTGCTTAGCTCTTCTCAAACCTTATCCAAAAGAACTGCTCCACAGCAGGGTTTCTCAACCTCAGCAATACTGACATTTTGGGCCAGATCATTCTTTGTTGTATGGGGCTGCCCCGTGTACTGTGGGCTGGTTAACAGCACCCCTGGCTAGATGCCAGTAGCACTACCCCCACCTTTAGTTGTAACAACCAAACACGTCTCCAGACATTGCACATGTCCTCTGGGAGGCAAAATCACCTTGGTTGAGAACCACTGGTACAGGAGTTTGAATACCTTTCCATTGTCAACACTATTTTTTATTACGTAAAGTGGACATAATATAAAATTCAAAATGAGTAAAGAGTATTTGATGAGAAGTAAGCTGCCTTCCCTTCCATCCAGTCACCCAGTTCACTTCTCCAGAGGCAATTTTACCAGTTTTTTTTCCCCCTTCAGTTAATTATCAGTCTGTAAACATAATTTTTTAATACAAATGATGATATACCATATGCATTACTCAGAATCTTCCAGTTAAATTTAACTCATACCTTTATTAATACATATTAGAATACTTCAATTCTAAACACCTTCATTCTGAACAGCTGTTTGATATTCCATAGTTTGATTTCACTGTGTTTAGCTCAATCCTATATTAATAGGTATTTAAGCTGTTTCCTATCTTCTACTCTTACAAGCAGTGGTGCAGTGAATATTCTTGTGTGTATTCATTTTGCACATGTGGGAGTACGTACGCAAGATAGTAATGGAACTGCTGAATGAAAGTGCATGGACATGTTACATTTTGGTAGGTTTTGGACATATTTGAGACAATACAGAAATTTGAATGACTAAATTAGATGGAATTTTGTTAATTTTCATAGTCGTGATAATAGTATTGTGATTGTGTAGAAGAATGTCTTTATTCCTAGGAGTCACATGCTGAAGTATTTAGGATCAGAATCATGACATCTGCAAATGATATTCAAAAGGTCCAGAAAAAAAGTATATGTGGGTGAGATATATATACATACATAAACATAGACATATCTCTGTGTATAAACAAAGCAAACGTGAAAAAAAATTTTAATTATTGAATCTAGGTGGAAAGTATATGTAGGTGTTCAGTGTAAGACTCTCAACCTTTCTGCATGTTTTTAAGTTTTCAAAATAAAAATTGAGAAAGAAGATATTGCATATATATATGAAACAAAAACAATACTATGAAAAAGGAATAATCAGTGAATAAGAAAGAGCTCTTAGAAATTTAAAATGAGTGTTCTAATTCAAGCGGCAGAAACTTGGGGTATAAAGTTGAAGAAATTTCCCAGAACATCAAAAAGAAAATATGATAGAAAAGATAAATCAATGTGGGAAATCTGAAAACCAGCTTATTTTCATTTCAGAGAGAAAAAGTAAATAGAAGGACGTTATCAAAGAATGAGAGGATAAGTCCTCAGAGTTGAAGAAATGAATCTTCAAATTAGAAGGGCTAACTGAAGGTTGAGCAAGATTAAATCATCTTCACTAACATTTATTGAGTACTTAACATCAGTCATCTTGGTTCTCATGAAAACCTTCTGATATTAGCCTCAAGTGAGATTATTTCACCCAAGGTCAAACAATAAGCAGCAGAGCTAGGATTTTAGCCTAGGCAGTATAATTCACATGGGTTCTTAACCATTATACCACTTACCCAAAAAGATCCACACATGGGCTAAATTATTAAATTTCAAAACAATGAGCATAAAATAAAGATTCTAAATGCTTTCAGAAGGGAAAAACATGGTAACCTGGGAGAGGAAAGGAATTTAAATACGATTAGACTTTTTATCAGCCATACTGCATGCTAAAAGACAATGGAACAATATCTTTAAAATTCTGATGGAAAATTATTTTGAATCTAGAATCCTATATCCAAACTATCAGTCAAGTGTAAGAATAAAATAAAGGTGGTTTTGAAGATGTAAGAAACCGGAAGTCTTACTTCACACCTTTCTGATAAAGTTACTTGTAAATCTATTTTAGCAGCATGAAGGCAAAATCAAAGTGCATGTATGATGTGGAATCTAAGAAATAATAAAACTGATCTGATTCCAACAAAAAGAAATGAGATAGCAAATGAATTGCATGTCTTGGAATTGGTCCAAATTACAATAGAAAATTATTAACTCCAGAAAGAAAAAGAGTACAAGAAAGTCAGAGTCCAAATATAATAAACTACAGTTGGCATGGCTTTGAGCAGTAACTAGGAACAGAAATAGTTCAAAGTGGTTGAGTATGGAGTCAGACAGACTAGGAAAAGGTGGGATAGGAGACTTGCTTTTCATTATAAACCTTGTTGTAACTGCATGTTTTTAAAAACTTACTTTTAAATGAAATTTTGTTTAAATAATATTATATTGTACAGCAACTGAAGCTCCATATAATTGTCAAATGAAATACAACTGTAAACCAAGGAAAATTTTTAAATTAGTTTACCTGAAGCAGACTGCGCTCAGCCTGACTTCCACAAAGCAGAACTCACAAAAAAACAAACAAAAAAAGTGAAGAGCTTTCTTATAAATAAATAAAGAAAGAAAGAAAGAAAGAATGAATGAATGAATGAATGAATGAATGAATAAAAGCGATGCTCAGTCCTTTTCTTTGGAGACTGATTCTCAAAGAATCATGGTTAACCACCCATGCAATTTTTGGCTATCGAAAACAAATTGTCTCTACTTTTGTTATCTTGGTTCTATGAATCAACAGACACTAAGTGAAAAACCAAAGTTTAGAATTTTTATGTCATAATTTGGGGGCTTTCCATTAACCCTGTGGAGAAATACAATGCAATAAAAGTGTAATGCTATTTCATGAATATCTGAAAAGCTATGTTGTATAAGATGCTACAAGGAATGCCATATAAATGTCATAAAAAAATATTTTTTGAAACCTACAGTGTTATAATGTACACAGGCTGGAAAAGGGATGAATCTTCTGTCTTACAACCTTTCTGGACCTACCTTTATCTTAAAATCGGAAGGGGTAGAGTTAGAATTGGATTAGGTGATCTTTGAAGCCCTTTCCAGTTCTTCAACTGTATACTCTCTCTTCCAACTTAATAAAAGCCAGTTGGAAAATGTGCTTTGGTTAGACTCTCAGTTCACCTGGACAGTTCTTTAGATTTCTGATTAATAATTTTGGCAGGTGAATCTGTGTGGAAGTCTTGGGCTGTACAGTTTGTTTGCCTGGCTCTCAGAGTCCCCTTTGTGAAGGCTGTAGGGCCACCCCAGTGAGGCTTGTTTGCTGTCTGTTCCTAGAGCAGCTGCCGCTTTTCTTCCTTTATCCTTTATCGAGCAAAAGAAACTGCAGTGATGTTTGTATGTGCTTCAGATGAGGAGAATGGTCTCCAGACAGGTTATTCTCTGGGCTAAAGTGGATGGGGTGAGCACAGAGCAGCTCAGCTCAATGGGAAGAGAGGTGGAGGCAGCATCTGCCCTCTTGTTTGTTTCAACAGTGTCAATCTTGAATACAGAATTTGTTGAGTGAGAGGCGAGCAGAAGTTAAGAAATGTACTACTGCTTAGTTTGTCAGCCAGTCTAGGGAGTGGAGGTGGAGAGTGGGAGGGAAGAAAGGGACATACTGCTAGTTTTCTTTTTCTATTATTAAATCCCTTGTTATTTCATAATTACTTTGAGAGTCTTACTGCAGTGTATTTTGCATAACTGTTAACTGACCAAAGAGTATTGTTTCATGCTTAAAGATAGGCTACATCAAAATCACAAATATTTTCAACCTTTTGACATTAATGGTCAAACTCACGCAATCCTAAAGAACTATGTATTTTTACTCAAATGCACTAAGAAACAGCAAACACAGAACCAGAAATCCAGCAAAAGAATAAGCTAGATGGAAAAATATGAGAAGGTAACTAGGAATGTACCATCACTTCAGGAGGGAAAGAAAAAAAACAGTAAAATAATATTACAAAAGGGTTGAAAACAACGAAAGAAGAGAAACAAGTGCAAAGTGAAGACAAAAGGAAAAGAGATTGCACAGTAGACTGCTTGCTATAAAGACATAGGTAATATTATTCATTCCTGTCCTTTTGCATATGGTTTGCCTAGTCTGTTGTCTTTTATTGTATACAGATATGTATCTGCTCACGGTAAAAACAGATAGCTCCCCTTAGAAAGTCTAGCAAATGGTATATTGTAGGAAAAAACAAACTGGATGAATGTACCTCAACTCGCTAACAGTGATTACCTGGAGAGAGGTTTTCTGGGGGGACTTCTACTTTCTCTATTATACATTTCAGTATTTTAAAAATGTTTTTAAAGAGTACATATTACATATATGTATAAACAGAAAAGAAAAACCAAAACACTTTTTAAAAATTTCAACAAGGAAATTGAGAGCATTTTCCTTTTTCTTTTACAAATGTGGATTAGAGGTGCTACAGGAAGCATATTTCCCTTTCACCTTCATCTTTGCAAGGAATGAAGGAGATTAACAGGTGCAATCTCCTGGGAACTTATATAATTAGAGTTTAGCATTTTTCTCACTTCTTGGCAGCCAGGGATAGCCAGAATCTGTGACCCCTCGCTCCTGGCACTACTCCTATGGGGCGGTATTTGGTCTTCCTTTGTGGACAATCTTGTGAGCATGTTAGTCTCAGATTTTCAATTAGTTTCTTAAGAGCAAAAATCATATCTTATCTCCTTTGAGCCTAGCTAGCATAGGCACTTAAGTATATATGATTGGCTGATTGATCACTAAATTCTCTTGGAAACTTTTTACCTTTCTTCCTTACTCTGAATGGACTTCTTCATTCTCCAGAAGGATATAAGCAAGTGCTACTTTCCCAGGGATTGCTAAATGTGAATAGATGGCAGTTGCTAATGATACATATTTTTATTTAAATTTCATGGGGCAAATGCATGATTCTGCTTTAATCCAACTAACCTCAGAGCAGTTTTATCAGAAAACTCAGATGCATCAGTGAGTGAGGTTTGGGACCATCCACATCCTCTTCCCTATAGCCTTCCCAGACCTTCCCTCCCTTGGCCCTTGCCAACCATTCCAGGTGAGCAACTTCTCCTGCAATGAATGGGTAGGCTGTTATGCTGCATGATTTCTGATTACAATCTCCCATAGTATCTTTCAAACCAAGGGGTTGAACCAGCTTGAAAAGAATACTGGCCAGACTGGACTTGAGAGCAATAACTCCCGTAGGACAATACTTTGGTCTTACCCTACAGCTAAGTCTGCTCTGTCTGGTCCTATTCTACTCTGCTTACCCTGACAGACTGCTCAGGAGGGTGTAGCATGGTATTTGCTGAGCCCATTGGATTAGCCCTATAGATGGCTGTAGGTCCCTGAAATCTTCAGAATTTCAACATAGGATCAGGTAGGGCAATCTTGTTAGAAGGGGGTGGGGCTTAAAGTTTCATTTGCATAGAAATTATATGACTGAGAAAATGTCATTAGATAAATCAAAAATGTGAGGGGCAGGAGGGTCACCTACAACTAAAGCCTCTCTCCCTTGTCCCCCAGCTCTCTCTTGGCACTGCTATAGATCAAGAAAATGGGGAACAAGCAACAAGGAGAAATCCTCTTGATTTCTTATAACTGCCTTGTGTATGGCATCACTTTCCCTCAAAAAATATGGGGCATTTACACATTTTCGCTAAGGGTACCCTTAAATTATCCAGTAACATATTACCCAGTAACATACCAAATGATTAGTGTAGAAAATGACATTCTGCCAGCAAGTTGGCTAAAAGAGTGCCCTAGAAACTTTCTGCCTGAACACGTAATCATTTGAAGCTGGACACTTTACTCATTTACAGGGGTCTGGTCCAATCAGCTATTGAGACAGGTTCCTATAGTACGTACAGACTATGTTTATGCAGGACTCCCAGTTCCTGGAAAGAATGTTCATTTAACTTAAAAAACGTAAATAAATAAAAGTACTTCCTCATACTAAGGTTAGACAAATTAGTGGGCAGGACTGAAAATATTCTTTTCAAACCATAGAGTAAAATGCTAAGAAACGATCCTGAAATCAAATCAAAAGACCACTTTTTCTGATTCAGAGGGCAAAACTGATAAGCAAGGTCAGGAAGACTGAATGAAGGCAAGACGATAGCCCCACAAAAGCTGTGCAGGTCCCAGAGCACCAGCTTACTTAACAGGCCATAGAACTTGCTCTGCGTCCAGTAGAAAATACCACATTATTTCAGTTAGCTTTACAATGCGTTCATATACAACAATTTTCTTCTACAAATATGTAAGCATCTTAGTCTTTATTCTATAGCCTATGTTTTTAAGTATCTTGCATTATAGGTAATCCTAATGAGTATTTTAAAATCTAAATTTGTGAAACAAGAAACAGAATGATGTATTACAAAACGAAATTTATTTTTAAAGGATTTCAAGTCACATAATCGCCTAGAGCATTTTAAAAATGTGAATGTGAATTACAAATGCAATATGTACCTTACAGAAACTGAGATAATTTAAATATCATAAACTATATATAACTTGAAAAAGTTATATAGTATAAGTCTATAATAAAATATCATTAAGTCGAAGGAGAAAGGAAAAACTGACTTCAAAAATATGAATATCAGAATTTATTTCTGATTTATTTCTTTTATAAAAGATAAAAAGATTTTAAAAGATACTAATAAGACATGATCTTTTAAAAATGAAGGTAAAAGACCTATAAAACAATAATTAATCACAATTAATAAAAATATTTTACCACTGAAGAATGAATATTTGGACACAGAAACTGAAGATATTAAGAAGTTATACTTTATTTTCTGAAACCTAGTTTTGAAAAATTATTCAAGTTTTTATTCAAGAATCCCAAGTACAAATTCTGAATAATGGCAGAAGTTCAAATCAGTGAGGTGCCACAATATAATTAAACTTCATTTCACAAGTAGGAAGATGGGCAGAAATGGAGTAGAGAAGTGAATCAGCACTGGTTACTCATCTAAATGAAAGCATAATGCCCTGTGTGCCGAGGATCACAGAATATTAGAATTGCAAGGGATCTCAGATGTCAGTGGTCTAGCTCTTTATCCTATTGGTCAATATACATATATCATAAATTGATTTTAGAGGACACATGCTGGCAGCTTTTAATCCTTCTAATGTCAGAAGGACATAGTATGAAAACAGCCAAATCAAGGATCGGTGGATAAGCTATCACCTGTGCAAGTTCCTATCTGCTTCACTTCTTGCTTATCTTAGATATCCACATTCTATGCTGAACTTCTTGGGGATTCCACCAAGGTGGTGCTACCTGAGTCCTCATAGTGTTTCCTTTTCCTTATCTTTCTAGTTGCAGGTGAATAAACTGTGTACTTGTTTTCCACAGGTTGGCTGACCTGAATCATGTGAACATGTATTCAATTTTAGATGTGTTCAAAATTGGGATTGATGCCTTCTGACCTTTTGCTAGGGATTTCTAAGTGTTTTTGTCCCCCTGTCCCCCGCCCCTCCCTGCACACTTCCTGAGACTCTGTGCCCTGCTAACTCTCAGGCTCCCTTGCTCCATTCAGATTGTTGGTTTCAGTTATACAGAGGACAGATTTACCTCATTCAAAGACCTTCTCCTTGGAACTGATCTGAGTTTTAAAAAGGTGGAGCTTGAAATAACATGTAGGAATACTTTTCATTCTCAGTCTCGTCTGTCTTGTTTACATCAGTGGAAAACATTATTTCTCTTTATCTTTCAAGGTGACCCAAAAGCATCCAAAACTGGGTCTCCGAGAAGTATAGTGTATGTTCCCTAATGAACTTCCAAAATTCACTCTCTTTAAAAGTAAAAACATCAGGACTACATAGTCATTATAAAGAATGAGCCTGAGCTAAGTGTTCTGAGATTTGATGCTTATGATGAGTGGAAAAAACAAACTGTAACAGTGATTCCATTTAGAATATTTACACACATTTGCCTGTAAAAGGATGATGCACACAGTGGTTAACTGGAGAGTGGGACTGTGGGGCGCAGACAGAATGAGGAAGAGGACTTGCACTTTTTCATTTACTCATTTCTGAACTGTCTGAATTTTTCACTGAGTGTGTAATTAAACTGAATTCTTAAAAATTAATTAGGAAATATCACACACATTTACCAAGAATCCTTATCAATCTTCACTGCATTTAAAGTCCGGGAATCTGTTACATTCTTGGTTTGACTGGTTCCATGGAGCGTTCGATTCCTTCACCAGACTTTCCTTGAATTATCAGGTTCTTTGCTGGGCACAAGGCTACCAAGATGAATAATACCTGGTCCATGATAAGATGAAATCTGCCCCAGAACGCAGATAAGAGGAAAAGTGAATTTGGTACAAATGGGCACCGCCATCACTAGGGATACATCAGCTCCCTTACTTGACTCAGAATTGGCATTCTGCAGGCTACATCTTTTGGCAGCACGATTGGCAGACGTTATCATCACATTCTTAAAAGTCAAATTTAGGATTACGACTCCAGTTAATACCGCTGAGCAGGAGGCGTCCTTGGGGAATAAGTCCCCTGAACATACCCACTGGGGTACCCAGTATAGATTTTGCAGCTGCATATAAATCCTGTCTTGCCTGGAGTCTCTGCTGAGTAACGTAGATTCTGGAACAACCAAGGGGCAGGTGGTGACTTTGAACCAAATTTTACCTTTCAACTGAATCCAGAGAAATAATTTACCAAAAAAAAAAAAAAAAAAATGGCAAACGATGCAAAGTGCTATGTTGAACGCTAGATTGTGCTTTATTTTTTCCTCCCAACTTCACGTTTCCATGCACCAAAATGTTGATGCTACAAATACTGGATGCCACGCTTACCTGACCGGCTTCTTCCATCCCACCTGGGCGCGGGGGCTCAGCGCGAACTCGCGAACCGTGGCTGGAGCCCGCCTCTCGCGGCCGTAGCCGGCTCAGCGGGCCGCGGGTTCCCTCGCCGGCACCGAGGACAGAGCCGTTCCGCCGCCGGAGCTCCCGCAGTCAGCCCCCTGCGCGCACGCGCGCTCCCCTCGGGCGGTCTCGGTGCCTCCGGTCTTCGGCGCCTCCGGTCTTCGGCAAGGCTGCGACTGGACAGCTCCGGAGGGAGGGGCGGGGCGGCGAGCGAGGATTTGCGGCCACGTGACCTGCGCCAACATGGCGGCGCCCAGCGGCGTCCACCTGCTCGTCCGTGGAGGTAAGCACGTGGATGACAGCACCGTGGGGTTCTTACCGTTGCCTACTAGCTGTGCATTAGGGTTCAAAAGGATACACATTCGCGCTCAGACATCTCGGCGCACACGAATGTACTTTCAGATACTCCGGACACGCTCAGGCACACTCAATGACACATTGACACGCCGCAGGAACAAACAACACATTTGTTTACTGATTACTTGCCTAGACCACGACACTGCGTGGCATCTATTCTCAGGCACTCCTTGAGATGTTTGGGACGTTCTCTGAAATTTTCTTCCCCTACCTCAATTGTATAATTAGCGTTGCAAACTTATTTATTCTGACCGCGAAGCGATAAAACCGTGGTAACTCTGAAATGCGCCTGCACACCCCGTTGCCGTAGAGAAGGCAACTTGTGTCTGTTGTAACGATACAACACGTCTTTTGAGGAACTTGCAAAATGTGACTGTTTTCTTCCAGTGATTTAAGGTTAAGAAGAAGAGAAGTTATGTCTGGGTAGCTCTCAGTAAGTGTTATCTTTGTGTGCATGGTGAGATTTTAGTAAATGTACAAATGCTTTTGCAACTGACTTAAGAAAATATTTGTTGGATTTGAACTAGTTTCTGAATCCTTGTTGGAAAGAACTAGGAAGTTGTTTCAAGGATGGGGAAAGGGGAACTAACATAGTTTGACTACTTAGATGTCAACAGCCCTGCGAGGTAAATATTATTTTCATAGTCAATAGCCACCATTTATTAAGTGCCTTCTAAGTACTTGATGGTGTGTTAAGGACCTTACCTATGCTAGCTACCTTTAAAAACCCAAATGAGTTAGACGTTATTCCATGATCGCGGGTGAGAAAAGTGAGGCAAAAAGGTTAAATAATATAACTAAGTTCACACAGATTGTAAGGGGCAAAATGGGCATGTGAACATGAATTTGATTTTTTTTTTTTAAATGCTCATTCCTCTGCACTGAGCGGCATGGTCTCTCCATAGAAATGTAATTTTGAATTGTGTGTCAGATTTACTGGAGATTATTAGAAAAAAAGAGGTTAGAGTGGAGGAAAGTAAGAAATCTAAAAAGAAGTGCTTGAACTTAAAGCTGTATAGCCATGAGAGAGAGGAAGGAAGCTGGTGGAAGTAAACACTTAGACCTAAGCGTTATCCTGTTGTCCTTCCACAATTCACGTGGAGGGAGCTGAAGCTGTGCGAGGAGGTGGAGCAGACTGCTGGCAAGTCCAGCAGAAAGTCTAAGAAAGGCACAGTTGGTGTGTGTGTGAAGTAGTTTGGCCTTTCAGAGGGCCATGTGGCAATGTGTATCAAGATGTAAGGTATATATATACCTTTTACCTAACAATTATGCTTTTAGGAATTTAGTATAAGAGAACAACAAGATGAGCATGCAAAGATATATGAATAAAATGAAATGTTATAATAATAATAAAAATTGGAAATATTGGACAGAATCTGAAATGTCCACTGGTAAGAGAATGGCTAAATAAATTATGGTTCATCCATGCAATGGAGTGCTATGCAGCTATTAATAAAGATGACGTAGATGTACTGTAGACTTAAATAGTCATTAACATATACTGAAAAGGCAGGGTATAAAACAGTGTATCTCACATATGTAAAATTACATATCTTTGTTTTCTTATGTGTATGTATGCACAGAGAACTCTAAATGATGTTTACCCAGATGTTCATAGCTGGTGTACTAGATGGTGAGATTGGATTGATTTTTATTTTCTATGTACTTGATGTGTTTGAATTTCATACACTGAGCAGATAGCCTTTTTGTTATCCAAAGCGGTAACTTTATTTTTTTTCCTTAAAAAAAATTTTTTTTAAAGAAAGAAATACAAAAGGCATTAAATGTTTGACTGGGGCAAGGCCCAGGGGGAAAATGTCCTTTACTATGCATATACTCTGTAACAAAGCAAAATGTCTATATAATTTGTAATATAAGAAAGGATAATCTTCAAGATTTCCATGAAAACCGTAAATGGAAATTACTTATATAGACTCATTACTATAATTTAAGATGCATATAATGCCACTAATATTTTATTTTTTATTTTAACAAATGTAAAAAATATTTGTAAATGCTTCTGTTTATTTATGACTCTAAGGCCATTGATTCTTCCACTGAGAATCTATGGTGGTTACCATAGTGGTTTTTCAAAAATTTAACCTCTAGGTAGGGGAGGGGCTATTGTACATCACGAATTAAGTGCTTTAAACTTTTCTCAACTGACCTGAGATCCTTACTATCTTGTATAGCTTATGTAGGAAGTGTATCCTCAGTTTTGCCACACCAACTTACAATTAAATTTGGGGATACAGTCCATGTGTGATTTGGAAAATGCTAATATTAATAAGGAGCCTCCTGTGACTTAAACCGTTTTGTATTGCTAGCCAGAGAATGAAAATGAATTTTTGCTATATGATTGATATTTGTTAATAGATATCTTTCAACTGTATTATAATATGGCTTGTTACTATATAAATTAAGACATACTTAATCAAATCTTGGCCCTAAAGTCCCAGAAGTCAGATGTTTCCCTAAAGCCATGTTTGCTCCTAACGTTTTTCCTCTATTTGAAACAGTGCTCTATAACACAGCTCCTGTCTGTCATTGAAATTATGAAATTTCAGTGCATAGTACAGGACATGTAGACCCTCAATCATGAATACTCTGCAGTCATTTAAAAATAATGATATTCACCTATATTTGTTGACATAGAATGATATCTACAACATATATTATTTGGAAAAAGCAAGTTTAATAATAGTTCTATTTTTCATAATCAAGTGCTGATATCTCCATGTGTATGTCTAAGTGTGTAACGTAGCCAACGGAGATAGAGGGAAAGGGGGCGTCGGTCGGAGGTGGAGAGAGAGAGAGAGAGAGAGAGAGAGAGAGAGAGAGAGAGAGAGAGAGGAAGGGGGAGAAGAGAGAGAAAATGGTATTTACTTAAATATTCAGTTTTTATGAAATGGTCCCTTTCCCCAACTATTGGAAATCTTTGAAAATGTAGGTTAGATGTTACATATCTTAGTCGATGTTACATATCTGGCAAAGATGGGAGGAGAATAATATGTGTGCAAAACTTTGAACATTTTATTTTTTGACTTAAAACAACTTTTTCTAGTGGAGATTGGATTTCCTTTTAAGCTTTTGAGTATAGAGAATTTCCAACATACACAAAAGTAGAGAAAACAGTACATTAAACTCCCACATACTCATCACCTAGTTACAACAATCACCAATTTATGGCCACTTTTGTTTCATCTTTGTCCCTAGCAACTTTCCCTCCCCCAAGCTGGATTATTTTGAAGCATATCCCAGCTATCATAATTTCAACTCTAGATTTGTTATTTATATCCAAAAGAAAGGGAGTCTTTTTAAAATAATTGTTTTATTTTTCAGTTACAGTTAGCATACCTGTACATGTCATACAGGTATATGACATGGTGATTAGACATTTATATAGCTTACGAAGTGATCACTCCGATAAATCTAGTACCCATCTGATACCATACATAGTTATTACAATATTATTGACTATATTCTTTATGCTATACTTTACATCCCCATGACTATTTTGTAACTACCAATTTGTACTTTTTAATCCCTTCCCCTTTTCACCCCCCAACCCTCCTCCCATCTGGCAACCATCGAAATGTATCTGAGTTTGTTTCTGTTTTGTTTGTTTATTTTTATCTTTAGATTCCACATGTAAGTGAAAATCATATGGCATTTGTCTTCCTTTGTCTGACTTGCTCTCCTCAGCACAATACCCTCTAAGTCAATCTGTGTTGTTGCAGATGGCAAGATTTCATGTTTTTCATGGCTGAGTAATATGACAGGGTGCCTTTTTTATTTTATTCATATATTGTACTTATCAGCTCTAGAATTTCCATTTGGTTCTTTTCTTATAGTTTCCATTTCTCTGTTGAGATTTCCCAGTTCACTCGTTATGTCCATGTTTTCCTTTAAGTACTTGAATATACTTATTTATAATAGCTGTTGTAAAGTCCTTATCTATTAATTCTGTCATCTGGGTGATCTCAGGGTCTGTTTCTGTTTTCTTGACTGCTCTTTTTTTCCTTGATTGTGGATCACATTTTTATGCTTCTTCATTTGTTATCTAATATGTAATTGTATATGTTACATAATGGATAATACCTTGTGGGTAATATATTTTTTCCTTTAAAATATGTTTTAAAGAGTTTTGTTCTGGCAGACAGTTAAATTACTGGCAAATCTTTTTGATTCTGCCCAGCTTGGTTTTATTCTTTATTTTAACATTAGTCCTAGAGTGTAACCCTTACTCAAGTGCAGAGATCAGCAATTTTTTTCTGTAAAGGGACAAATAGTAAATATCTTAGGCTTTTGTGGGCCGCACGATCTCTACTGCAACTACTCGACCTTGCCAATATAGTGCAAAAGCAGCACAGACAATACATAAATCAATGAGCATAGCTATGTTCCAATAAAATTTTATTCACAAAAATAGACAGTGAACCAGATTTGGCTCACAGGTCTTTATTTGCCCACCCTTGCTCTGCCAGTGCATGGTTCTTACTCCTCAGGTGTGGTCTTTCTAAGGTCTCAGTTGAATGTCTGTGGGGCCCAGTGAAGTCTGTCTACTCTGGTTGTGCTGGGACTGTGACTTCTTTCAGTGTTGCAACCACTGGAATCTCTCTACTCAGCTCTCAGCCTGCAGCTATTGTCTGGTGTCCTTGTGCCTCTTTTCCAGTATCCTGCCACACAAATTCCAGCTGCTTCGACAGCCAGATGTCTGCT